GTTAGAATCCAAAATCTATAAAGAACTTATCAAACTCAACACCCAAAAAACAAATAATCCAGTGAAAAAATAGGCAAAAGACATGAATAGACGCTTCTCCAAAGAAGACCTCTAGATGACCAACAGACACATGAAAAAATGCTTAACATCACTCATCGTCAGGGAAATACAAATAAAAACCACAATGAGATACCACCTCACACCCTCAGAATTGCTAACATTAACATCTCAGGCAACAAAAGATGTTGGCAAGGATGTGGAGAAAGAGGATCTCTTTTGCACTGCTGGTGGGAATGCAAACTGGTGCAGCCACTCTGGAAAACAGTATGGAGGTTCCTCAAAAAATTAAAAATAGAACTACCCTACAACCCAGCAACTGCCCTACTAGGCATTTACCCAAGGGATACAGGGATGCTATTTCAAAGGGGCACATGCACCCCAATGTTTATAGTAGCACTATCAACAATAGCCAAAGCATGGAAAGAGCCCAAATGTCCATCGATGGATGAATGGATAAAGAAGATGTGGTATGTGTATATACACACACACACACACACACACACACACACACACACACACACACATACATACAATGGAGTATTACTCAGCAATCAAAGAGAATGAAATCCTGCCATCTGCAACTATGTGGATGGAACTAGAGGGTATTATGCTAAGCAAAATTAGTCAGAGCAAGACAAATATCATATGACTTCACTCATATGAGGACTTTAAGACACAGAACAGATGATCACAAGGGAAGGGAAGCAAAAATAATATAAAAACAGGGAGGGGGACAAAACATAAGAGACTCTCAAATATGGAGAACAAACAGAGGGTTACTGGAGGGTTTGTGGGAGGGGGGATGGGCTAAATGGGTAAGGGGCATTAAGGAATCTACTCCTGAAATCATTGCTGCACTATATGTAACTAACTTGGATGTAGATTAAAAAAATAAAATTAAATAAAAAAATTTTGAAAAAGATCAACGAAGTTGACATAGTTAAACTGACCAAAAGAAAAAGATAAGACTCAAATTGCTAAAATTAAGAATGAAAGAGAAGAAATTTCTACTGACATTATAGAAATTAAAATGTAAGAATATCATTAAAAACTATATGCCAAAAAATTAAATAACTTAGACGCAATTGGAAGATTCCTAGAAAGACACAAACTATGGAAACTCATGAAGAAGAAATTTAAAAACCTGAATAAGCCTGTAACTATTGAAGCCCAGGCCTAGATGGCTTCACTGGTGAATTCTATGAAATGCTGAAAGAAGAATTAATGCCAACTCTTTACAAACACTGCCAAAACAGAAAATGAGAAAATACATCCCAACTCGTTGTATGAGCCCAGTATTACCCCAGTTCCAAAATCAGACAAAGGTATCACAAGATAAGAAGACTATAGTCCAATATCTCTTATGAATTAAATGCAAAAATGCTCAACAAAATACTAGCAAATGGATTCTAACAATATACATAAAATATTATATAAATCATGACCAAGGGGCACTAATCTCAGGAATGGGAGGTAGCATTAACATCCAAAAATCAATGTAATATACCGTATCATGAGAATAAAGAACAAGCCCACAAATCATCTCAATAGACACAGAAAAAGTATATGGCAAAATCCAACACCTTTTCATAACAAAAACATTCAACAAAGTACAAATGGAAGGGAACTTCCTTCTATTGATAGAAGGGCATCTACCAAACAAACCAACAAAGAATCCCACAGTCATCATACTTAATAATGAAAGACAAATGTTTTCTAAGATCAGGAAAAACAAGGATGTCTGATCTCACCACTTTTGTTCAACCTTGCACTGGATGTTTTAGTGATGGCAATCAGGCAAGAGCATACAGATTGGAAAGAAGTAGCAAAGCTATGACTATTTGCTGACAACAAACTTGTATATAAGAAAATCCCAAGTCTCTAGGTCACCAAAAATCTTCCAGAACTAATTAAATTCAGCAAGAATACAAACAAAAAAATCAATACACAAATACCAGTCCTATTTCCACACACTTGCAATAAAGAATTTGAAGACGAAATTGAGAAAACAATTCCATTTGCAATAGGATTAAAAATAATAAAATATTTAGGAATAATTTAATAAAGGGCTAAAATTATGTTCTGCGATACTACAAAACATCGTTGAAAGAAATTCAGAGTCTATGTAAAGATTAAAGACATCCCAGTTTCATGGATCAGAAGACTTAATATTGTTAGGATGGCACATTCCCTACATCTTTTGATCTACAGAGTTAACACAATATCAAAATCCCAGCTGGCTTCTGTGCAGAAATTGATAAGCTGTTCCCAAGATTCATCTGGATGAATCAATTAAAACAGTCTTAGGAAAAAAAACCTGGAAGATTCATATTCCTGACACAAAATGCACTACAAAACTACAGTTGTCAAGACAGTGTGGTACTGATATCAAAAATAGGCACATAGATCAATGGAAAGGAATCAAGAGCCCATAAATAAACCCATATACCTATGGGGAATTGATTTTTGACAAGAGTGCCAGTACCAACCAATGGGAAATGAAGAGTCTTTTCAACAAATGGCACCGAGACAATCGGACAGCCACAGGCAAAAGGACGTTGAACTCCTATGTCACAACACATACAAAAAATTAACTCAAAATGAATCAAAGGCCTAAATGTAAGGGTTAAAACTACAAACTCCTAAAAGAAACATAGGTACTAATTTTTATACCTTTGGATTAGTTGGTGGTTTCTTACACATACCGCTAAATGCACAGACAACTAAACATAGGTAAATTGGACTTTATGAAAATTAAAAACTTTTTTGGGTTATAGAACATTATGACGAAAATGGAAAGACAAACTATAAAACCCACAGAGTGGGACATTTGATATGCAAATCATATATATGATAAGAAATTTGTATTAAGAATATATAAAGGACTCTTAAATTCAGTAGTAAGGAGCCAATGAATTTTAAAATGGGCAAATGTAAGAACAGACATTTCTCAAAAAGATATATAAAGGACCAATAGGCAACTAAAAAGATGTTTTATTTCGTGTTAAGCCATGATATTAATGAAAACCAAAATCACAATGAGATACTTCACACCCACTAGGAGGGCTATAATCATAGGGACGGATAATAACAAGTGTTGAGGAGGATCTGAAGAAACTCTGTCATACACTGCTGGGAGAAATGTAAAATGGTACCCCCTCCTTTGAAAACAGTCTGTTTAAATACAGAGTTTCCAAGTGACCCAGGAATTGCACTCTTGGGTATATATCCTAGAGAAATGGAAACATGTTCACATAAAAACTTGTACATAAATGTTCATAGTAGCATTAATCATAATAGTCAAAAGGTGGAAAGTCAAATGTCCATCAACTGGATGGATAAAATGTGGTCCATTCATACAACTAAAAGTCATCCATCCATAAAAAGAAAGTAAGTTATAATTTGTGTTACGACAGAGAAGAATCTTGAAAACATGCCAAATAATAGAAGCCAGGCACAAAAAGCCACATACTGTATGATTCCATTCATATGAAATGTCCAGAATGGGCAAATACATAGAAACAGAAGGTGAGTTAATAATTGCCTTGGGCTTTTAGAGATGGAAGAAGTAGGGAGTGGCTGCTATTACATATGGGATTTCTCTTAGAGATGATACGATATTCTAAAATTGATTGTGTGATGCTTTCACAGTTCTGTGAATATACCAAAACCCTTGAATTGTACGCTTTTTATTGTACACCTTAAATGAGTAAACTGCAGGATATATTAATTACAGCTCAATAAAGTTGTTTAAAAAGAGAGGATAAGGACTGCACACCTCCCACTGTTTTTTTACAGTTAGGTGCAACTAGCTTTAAAGCAATTCTCTACCCTGCTTCCTTTGTGATTTGTTGAACATCTGTACCTTCTGTTTATATATAAAAATTTGTAGTACTCTTGCACCTATTTCCTCATCAGATAACCTGAGTTCTTTATATACTCAATTAGGAAAGAAAAGAGAAATTAGAAAAATATATGACTTAATACTGGAAGTTCTGCTCCGCTGCATAGAGATTATTCTGGAAAAAAAAAACAACAACAACAAAATAAAACTGGGCAAGAACAGGAGAAATAGGCTGAATTCTGAATAGGTTACTGCTTCCAAGGACAAAGAAGGCACCATCTGTAACACGCATCTTTATTTAGCAATAAAGAGCTTGTTCCTAAGAGGAAAATACCTCTTGAACTAAACCAAATAGGCCCCTCTACCAGGAGAGGGGATTCGGCCTCCCACTTGACTCCCCAGAAGTGGATTTCACAAATCTACATGCAACCCAGAATTGAACCGCATTATCTACTCACAATAAAATTGTGGGCCTTAAGTACCCCATTTTTATTCCTTCATCTTGCCTGCCAGAGATTCTATTGATGAACCAAATAATAGAGGAAAATGTGAACGGCCTATGGCTGCTTCCTTGTCAAAAATGGAAAGAAAAAAAAAAAAAGAAAGAAAAGATCTCCAATTACACACATTAGCCTTAATTTTGGCCTTTGGATGATCAGATAATGTTTCTGCCCATGAAATGAATTCTTGTGGCAAGTCCATGCTTTCCAGTGTCAAAAATAAAAGCTTCCAATTAACTGTCAAAAGCTTTTCCAGCATCTGGAGACAGGAGTAAATTGGAATCTTTTATATTGGTAGCTTTTGACATTATATTAAACAATCTTCTAGGGTTGTCATGGTCCATTCTTTGTATCTATCTCAAATGGTTTGTGTTTATCAATTGTTTTATTAGGCAATCTAATCTTTTAGCTCAATTTCGACATTTCTTATATTTGAGTAAAGTCGAGGGACCTTTTTGCTACCGTGCAATCATCTTCACGTTGTTTTCAGGAGGACAAAGCCAGGGATATGTTTTAGAGTATAAGAGGGGTTTGTGTGTGTTTGTAGTTGGTGGTGATGGTGGTGGTGGTGTTTATGGTTTTTTTTGTTTGTTTGGTTTGGTTTTGGGTTTTTTTTTTTTTTTTTTTTTTTTTTGGCCTTTTCTTCCTTTAAAAAGTCAGTCCTGCTTAGGGTTACATGCTGTAGCCTCAGCACTAGCAACCAGAGTACTATCTAGACAATGAATCGGATACTGTAGATTGCTGTAATCTCTTCTACAAGGAAAGGTAAATATCAGAGCTATTGATCCATGCTTACGTACTTCTTTCCGAGCCTGAGATTTTTCTCTTGAAAATAGAAAATGCTGCATGGAAGCATTTCCCATTTCCCAGTATCTTCTCTACTCTCAAGGATTTTCTTTGTTTTACATTTGAAAAAGTAATCAAGTAACATAAATTTATGAGCTCAGGATTTTTCCCTTGCTCTTAACTCTAAAACTTTTCAAGAAGAGTTAGAAGCAAAGAAGCCTCTTTTTTTTTAAATTTTATTTCTTCATATGTTAATATCTGGGGCTATTTTCTCATTTGATTTCTGTTTTCTTTGTTCCTCTTTCATAAGAATGTCTGCATTTACCACATTTAACTTGTGTTCCTTTTGGATTCATAAACGCATATATTTTTCTTTAATCAAACTTCATGTTCCCTGGGAAGCTAAAAATTATTCCAGGCTGAGTGTATTCTGTATTAACAAAAATATATATATAGTGAAATCATTTGTATTCATTTTTCAGAATACTTCTCAGCCCAGTTTTGAAAGTCTTTACATTATTGGATTTGTTCATTTGAATTTTTTTCACTAATGTAATTCAAATATGCAGACGACCAACCATATAGATGTGAAAAGAACCGGAGCAATCATACCTAGAAGGGAGAGGAGTGATTCCTTTAGAGCAAATAAGTAAAGAGAAGCAGTGTGAAGGCATAAGCTCCCTGGTGCTCTTCCTCCCAGTCTCTGAGCACTTTCTGGCTGAACCAGATGAGGCTTTTCACCTGATCTGGTCCACCTTGCTGGGCCAGAACACACTCTAGGGCCAGAAATAACTGGTAAATATCAACCAGTTATTTACAGAGTCTCCAGGTCCCCTGGGAATGTGGGTGGACAAAGGCGTGTGTGAACTAAGGAGGTGCCGGTCTGTAGCCAGGAGTTATTGGTCCAAGAGCAAAAGAGAAGTCGTAAGTACCCATCAGAGTAATGTAGTCAAAGCCAGAGGAGAATGGAAAGAGTTCAGAAACAGAGCACAGATGGGTCAGAATCAGCAGTTAGGGAAGAGGCCATGAAAAAGTTGAGATGATAACCTGCATTTGTCCCTGGCTCTGGCTGCATGTCCTCAGGGGGAGATGTGAGGGTTTAAAGGGACGAGGCAGGGTCAGCTACCACCCACCCCTGGACCTCTCCTCAGTCCTGACAGTAAGGGAACACCGCCAGGGGCACTGTGGCTCCAAAGGTAAAACAGTGCCTGGTGTTGTGGCTTAGCCTCGCCATTCCTCTCTTGCCCCACCAAAGATCCCCTTTCATATACTTTTGGAGGCTCCAAAAGTATATGAAAACCCAAAAGTTGGAGGGGTTCAAAGTCTCCAACCCCTGCCTCCAACCTCCCCTCCCCATCAGTCATTAACACACTGATGTCCCTGGGATGCTGCTTCTAATCCACCTGCATCTCACATTCCTCCTTCCATTGTGTTTCCTCCTCCTGGGATTTTCCTTTCCATCCGCCTTCTCCTAGAGACTATGCGGGTCGAAGGTCTTCTATAAAACTCTCCCTACCCCTTCATCATCCTCCAAGTCGCCAGCCATCCAAGATTCAACCTCCTTTCTCCTATAAAGAAAAACAAACGTGACAATGTTGGGGATGGGCAAAGTTGAAATGATTTAGTATCTCAATAATTATAGCTCTCCCTTGAGCCTTTTGTATGGAAATACGCAGCATGTTTCTCTAGCAATTTAGGTTATGTTTCAGAAGGCTAGTTAATTTCCTACCAGCCTGTGTTCCTAAATTATTCTTAACCCCAAAGTGTATGATGAGGAACCAGAACCCCATCTTTCTTTATATTTTTTTCTACATAAGGCAGCTCTTTGAGGAACTCTTTATACTTGTTAATATTTTTCAGTGATGCCAGGGTACCATACCTTCCTTCTCCATGGGGTGAGGTTGTTGAAAACTCAGAAGATGATGTAATAGCTAACGTCTATGGGGCACTGACTATATGGGTCAAATGCTGAGGTAAGTACTGTATTGCATGGACTATCTCATTTAATCCCCACAACTATTATCCTCATTTTATACATGAGGAAACTAAGGCTCACAGAAATTCATTAACCTGCCCAAGAGAGTGGGATAGCCAAAATTCAGGGGAAAAAAATTTGAGGGAAAATGAGGAGAAACAATGCTTTTGAAAGGGAATTACTAACAATAATAAGTGACATAATATGCTGCAGGGCTCATGTTAGTAAGGTGGTGGCCCGGAAGCCTCTCCGCATTGACATAAGGGTACTTGCCTTGATTTAGGGATGGCACAATACTGGGTCGAGGCATTGGCAAGCTTCCTTCCAGATGGAGTAAATGAATGAGACCTGGAGGTCTGCAGCAGGCAGAACTTTAGAGAATAGAAATGTGCTTTTCTGCAAGACCCATTTCCACCCCTGAATGCTCCATGCCCTGGATGTGGACCATACACCCAAAGGAATTGTAGCTACAGTCATGAGCACTGGCCTGGTTTAATTCTTTAGTACAAGAGTGGAGGCCTTGGCTAAAAGAATTTCTGGGTTTGAGCTGCCGATACTTGATCAATCAAGTGGAGAGTTCACGTACGGCCTTCAGTACTGGGTATAACACAGAAAGCCCACAATATTTGGTCTTAATACTGTCATCGTTATTATCACTGGGGAACCATGGATAAGAGTATGGACTCTGGAGTCAGACTGCCTGGGGCTTAAATTTAGTAAGTACTACCTACTACAGTGTACCCTTGAGTAAACTATTTAACATTTCTCTTCCTCCATTTGTTTGAAAAATAGAGGTAATAACAGCACCAATTTTATCAGATTTCTCTGAGGAGCCAATGTAAGTAAACTAATACTTTTGCTTGGCACACAGCTGGCACTCCATAAATATTAACTAGTCTCATTATGATTGTCCTCACTATTGACCATCATCTCTGATCCCGGATTTGGGGTGACAGGAAGTGACTGGATGGGAATATGCTGAGCTCCAGCAACACAGATGACCATGCAATAGGCATGTAAGCTAAACTCTCACCAACCGGACCCCCATTCTCAGACAATAACTCAGAGGGCTCACCCACTTCCCTTATCACTTCTGCCTAGCACAGGCCCTCATTACTTCCTACTTGTGTTATTGCAAACTCCTCCAGGCTGGTCTCCCCAAGTCTGGTCTTTCTTCTCTATCAACATGGCTAGCAGACCAATCTTTCTGCCTGAGGTCAGAGTTCCTATCATACAGCCTATCTTCTTCAGCCCTGGACCCCTTGTACTAGACCTCACACTGGGGAGATGCCAAACGAAGGTTTTCCAAGATCACTGTGAGTTCCCTTCACCAGCTGGGAAATGATGTCAGTAATATAAGAAAAAGAGGGACTCTGGCCATAGTAATGGTGGTGGCTTGTTAATAGTGGTAAATTCCACTGTGCTCTGCTTCCAAAGCACTTTGATATGCTGCTCTAGGAGGGAGGCAAAGCAGGCAATAACGCCATTTTAAAGGGAAGCAAACTAAAGATTGATTACAGAGATAACATGACTCAGCCAAGGTACAACTTCATTTGATAGTTCAAACTGGGTCCCAAAGCACCTCAGCTGGTTTCACTTCGTCTCTTTTCCACAACCACTCAGAAAACACCAAATTACATTTCCTGATGCATTGTGCCAGTGTGATTAGAAGGATAATGGTCAACATTTCTTGAGTACTTTCTAAGTGTCAGGAACTATGGTAAGCATTCTGCATGGGTTATATAATTCGATTCTCTCAATAGCCACAGTTGCCCATTTTTCAAATGAATAAACATGAAACTTGCAGATATTAAATTACCAGCCCAGGGTAACTCAGTGATGCCAAGTGAACAGAGAAGGGCTATAAACACCTGTGCTCTCAACTATCTGCCTCCTTGGCCCCTGGATTCTTTAAGCTTTGTGCCAGTAACCAGAGATGGCCCTATAATTTGGGCTTTTCCTACAACAGTTAAATCCAACACAAAAATTACATAATGACTTGAAAATGCATTTAAATTATGCTCTATAGTTTTGAATCTATCATTTGACCAAATTCTTTTTTCATTACTCAGATTTTATTTACACATTTTTCCACCTGAGAATTCCTTAACTAAAATATTAAATATATTTTCCCTACAAACATTTTGTAATGAGTGGTGTTGTTTTGTTCATACAGCTTCGGATTCCTAATTCTTTCTAATTTTTTAGGTTTATCATGGTTCCAGGACATTCTCGCCTAAACCATAGTTTTTCTGCTTAGTACCAAAGCTACCAAGGGTATTTTCCTAACACTTCATCAATTGTATTTCTTTTTTTGATTTGTATATTTTTCCATTTGAATATATTTTATACATCAAAAAGACTAACCCAGTCTCTTACTCATGGCACCTTTTAAAAACAGTTTGTTAGTTGACACTGATACTGATGGGTTTGTATGTACCAAAATTTTAATGTTTATGGAATTAAATCAATTGATATTTTTCTTCATGCTTTTCACCATTGCTTTTATGCTTGGAAAGTCCTTTCCTATCCCTCAGAGAGAATCTGCCCACACTATCTTTAGTGATTTCTATGTTCTTTTTGCTTATCCTTCCTTCCCTGTCCCTTCCTCCAGTCATCATTCTCTGTCCCTAGTCATCATTTATCTTTTTCCCTCCCTCTCTCTCCTTCCCTTATTCTCTTCCTATTCTCTTATCATTTTTTTTAAAGTTTATTTTTGAGAGAGAGACATTGAGACAGAGAATCCCAAGCAGGTTCTGCACTGTCAGCACAGAGCCCAATGTGAGGTTCGAACTCATGAACTGTGAGATTGTGACCTGAGCTGAAATCAAGAGTCGGGTGCTTAACTAAGCCACCCAGGCACCCTATTATTTTATCATTTAACTTTTATCTGATATTGATATAAATCATGAGATAAGGATGAACACTTCTATTTTGCCGAAATAGTAAACCAATAGTATGTATGCACTATCTCTTGAATAACTCCTAGACCCCCCTTCTGGTTTCTTTCATCACTTTATTATATACCAAATTCTTCTTTATTTGCAGATTTTTTCAGGGTCATAGTTCTGGGGTCATTATTCTTATATCAGACAACACTGTATTTTTATGTTCTTATAATAAATTCCATTTGGTCATAATCTATTATTCTTTTAATATATATCTGTATAGGATTTGTTAGCATTTTAGTTAGATCTTTTGTTTTGTGTTTATTCATGAGTGAAATTATGTACAGTTCAGTGTGCTTATGTGGGAATAGAGTGCCTTTATCAAACTGAATTATTAGCGGCAATGAATAAGCAAACAGCAAAACTTTTCTAACATAGTACAAAAACACAGAAATTATATGGTCCTTAAAAGAATATTTGTTCATAAAACTGTGGCCAAACATTTTTCTCCTGTTTCTTCATGGTTTTTTATGAACTTAAGTTTGCTACTTCTACATCATTTTGGTAATTCATCATTTCTCTGAAAATGGCTGACACGTGTGCTTTTATATGCTTACTTGGTCCTAGTTTTACATTCACTATTTGTTTTTTTTCATCTCATTAGTTTTTTATTGATAATGCTATGTATGCGTTAAGCTATTTAAAAGAGGAATTTCTCTCCAAAAGGACCAGATTTTGAAATCATTCGTGAGTTCTACTGTTTTATAACCCTAATTCATCAATTGCTGATTTTACTTTTATAATTATCTTCTTTTCCATGAACTTATTCTTGTTTTTTCTGATTTCTCCATTTAATCCTCATCCATTCATTTTCATTTTTCTTATTTAATCATAGCATTGAAGATGTATCTATAAGTATAGATGTGGATATATCCTCAAGTTTTGATATATATTAACAATTTATAATGATAGTTTTGATCTCCCTTTTAATCCAATACATAGAAAGTTCTTTTACAATTTCTTTTTTTTTTTTTTTTTTTATATAGGCTTCACACCCAGCATGGAGCCCAACACAGGGGCTCATGACCCCTGAGATCAAGACCTGAGCTGAGATCAAGAGTCAGACACTTAACCAAGCATCCCCTTTTATAATTTCTAGTGGAATTGTCTTTCTTTAACTGTTGTATTCAGAGAATTTGACCAGTGAACTTTTACACTTGAAATTAATTTTTTTTTTAATTTTCTGTGATACACAAAGGCTCCTAAATTCTAAACAAATACCAATCTTAAGATAGTGATCAAATTCTCTATGTTCATATTGATTCAATCCTTTTGCCAACTTAATATGTGAATGTCCAAAGAGATCTAAGAGATCTAACAACATTTTGTACATTTGTGTCAGTGATGATTTCTTCTGGTGCTTTGCACACACGTATTTTATGTTATACACTGACACATTTCACCAGTGACTGTATCTTTTATAATGTTAAATTTTTTTTTCCTACTAAAATGCCTTTTACTTTATTTCTGTTTTTTGACTTAACATCTTTGCTGCTCCTACTTCCATTAGGTTTCATTGGCAGGGTGAGGCCTTGCCCAAAGAGTTATTTTCTACCTTTCCAAGTTCATTTATTTTAGGTATATCACTAATATCATGTACTTATTTTGTAGTAGGGTTGTTTGCCAGTGTTTATAGTAAATATGTTTGACACTTCTACATTATCTTCTTAATTTCTCTTTTTCCTCTTTCTTGCTAAGTTCACTATTTTTTTGCCTTTGGTTGAAAAAAAGCAATGTAAAATGTATGAATTAACTTGCCCGATCTACTGAAGATTAAGGTAATTATTAACCTATTTTTCATAAGAAATTAAAAATTGAAATGCTAGCTATGACTCTTCTCTAGGTGAGAGAAAGCATTTTGTGACCTTTTAAGTTCCTCTCAGTACTAACCACATATTTTTCCCAGTCTTTGTTACTGAATGTGAGAACTTAGAGCTAACTCATTGCCATTCTTTCTAGGTCAGTTAACTTTTTCTTTTCTGTAGGCTCCACACCTAGTGCAGAGCCCAACACAGGGCTCAAACTCATGACCCTGAGATCAAGATCTGAGCTGATATCAAGAGTCACATGGTCAACCAACTGAGCCATTCAGGCACCTCTATATTTGTTTTTATCTCAACAGTTATTTTGGGATTTTCCTTCAACCTTTTAAATAAAATAAAATTCGTCTCTTAAGTAACAACCATATTCATAGATGCTTTTTTTTTTTTTTTCTATGTCACACTACCATTTCCCAAATATCTATAGTGTGCCAGGGCCTGTGCTGTCCATTTTACAGACATTATAACTAATTCTTACAAGAACCTATGAAAGCAATTATTCTGCTTCACAGATGAGGAAAGCGAGACTCAGATAATATGTATTTCTGGTGAGTCACCATCAAGTGGCTGATATGTAAGGCAGTGATTTTGTTGCAATACCTAAATACTGCAACAGAACAAGAAACAGGGCACACTAGGGGAACAGAGAGAGGAGTGACTTAGTATTCCTGCAGGGGATGAGTGAGGAGGTAGTGAGGAAGGCTTCACCAAAGAGAAAACACTTTAGTTGAGTCATGATGTATGAACCATTTCCCAGGAGAATAAGAAGGAAAAGCCATTCTGGGCCCGAGGAACATCTGTGAACACCAGGAGTAAAAGCAGTGTCGGTGTGAGAAAACTCTAAGTATGTGGCTGGAGTGCAGGTGCTTTTATGGCCACAGCAGAAGGTGAATTTGGAAGTGGAAGCAGGGGTCATATTTTGAAGGAGCTTTTGTGTCATGTTGAGGAGCCTGAAACTCATCCTGTAAATGATGGGGAACAACCAAAGGATATTAAGCAGGAAAATGACAATCCAGTTTGATTGTGGAAAGATCATTCTATGCAATAAATATAAAAGTTGGACTTGGGATGGCCTACGACTAAAGGCAAAGAGGTCTGTGAGGAGGTCCCGATTAAAGCAATTGTCGCAGGAATGTTTGGAGCTCTCCTGAATAAAACTGTCACCTGCTGTTTCCCTTTCTGCCTTGACTGTCAAGAAGTTCAAAGCCATATTTAATCCTCATTTACAGTAAATGTATGAGCCCTCTGAATGAGTATAGTTTTTTTACCTCCATTTCATGGTGTAATTGTTTTCTATTGCTGCTGTAACAAATTACAACTTATTTAGCAGCTAAAGATGACATAAATAGGTAATCTCACTGTCTCCATGTGTCTGAAGTCTATGACAGGTCTCACTGGGTAAAATCAAGGTGTCTCAGGGCTGTGTTCCTCATTAGAGGCTCTGGGGAATGATCTGCTTCCAAACTCATTCAGTTTCCACACAGTAGTAGAAGTGAGGTCCCAGCTTCCTTGCTAACTGTAAGCCAGGGGTTGGTTCTCAGTCTTCAAATCCCTACCTGCATTCCTTGACACGTGGTGCCCTTCATCTCCGAAGCCATCAACAGCAGGTCAGGGTCCTTCTTGTGCTTTGCGTATCTCTGACCTCCTCACCCCCCACCTTCTGCCACGTCTCTCTGACCCTTCTCCCTGCCTCTTCTCTTTTTAAGGGCTCATGTGATTACACCAAGCCCATGAGATAACTCAGGATACTCACTGTGTTTAGAAGTCAGTGGATTCAGAACTTCAACTCCATCTTCAAAGCCTCCTCACAGCATACTCAGATTACTGTTTAATTAAATTCCAGGTAATGGGGATTTTGGAGGGACATCAATACCAAACATGGTTTTAGTTTTTGATTTCCATTTCAACAGTTTTATTGAAGGGCCTTGATAAAAGGCATCATAAGCCTTTTTTAGAAAAGAATAATTTTTTTATTCTTCTTTATTGTGTTGACTCTTTTGGAAATAAAAGTAAATATTGTTACTGCAGAAAGTTTGGAAAATAAAAATGGAAAAAATCAATCACAACCAACCATAAACCCATCACCTATATATGGCCACTGTTAGTATTTATATTTTCTGTCTCATTTTCTTCTTCTCATATTCATAAAAGCTGAAGCTCAAACTACATGTGCAGTATTCTACTTCTTAAGTTAATGTCAGGTTGGGAGCAATTTCTAGCATTTAATACTTACATAATTGCCACACAGTATTATAGTGAGTATATATACTTTATTTTTTATTATTTTTTTAGAGAGAGAAAGAGAGCATGAGCAGGGGAGAGAGACAGAGAGTGTGGGGCGGGGAGAGACGGAGAGGGAGAGGGAGAGGGAGAGGGATGGAGGGAGGGGGGAGAGAGAGAGAGAGATAGAGAGAGAGAGAGAATCTTAAGCAGGCTCAATGCTCAGCACAGAGCCAGAAATGGGGCTCAATCCCACAATTTTGGGACCTATGCCAAAATCAAGAGTCAGGTGCTCAACCAACTGAGCTACCCAGGTGCCCTATACTGTACTTTTTAAAAGTGCATGGGATGTTGCAAATTTCTCTTTATAAATAACATTGAATTACACATTTTTACTTTGTTGGAATTTTGGATTTTTTCCTGGATATATACTGAAGTGTTGAGTTGGGGTATTATGTCAGTCTTTTTAAAAAGTATTCCTTATATTCTAAAATATGCTTGTAAACTAACAGGTTTTTAACATATGAAGTCAGAATAAGAAGCTGATTATGACTATATAATTATGATTATATGTCTATCACTTACAATTCCATTGCAAAGATGCAAAAAAAATATTTCTGCAGAGTCATCTTTTCTCGTAATATAGCTCCCATTTCTGAATATACTTGAGACCTACTATAATAAACTTCGATTTACAAAAGCCACTAAAGGATGTGGTAGTCATTATTTCTGTTCGCCAAATATTGCCTGCTCTCTTTAGAGGCATATCATAAGATTTCATTTCTCCGTTCCCTTGGGTTTGAGGTAGTGAGCTATTTGATTTGGCCGATTACAGGTAATGTAACTGAACAAGTGTGTCACTTATTGGTTGAAAGCTTAAGAGCTACTATGTGATTAGCCTTACACTCTTTACCTGTCCCTTAGAGATTTGCTACGCTCCAGACTGTGGTTATTCTCCTAGTTTAGGATCTGGAGATGGTACAAGGTAGCAGAGCCCCTTGAAAAGACATAGTGTGAAAGAGAAATACACCTTCCTTCTTTAGTCCACCAAGATTTTAGGATTGTTTGTTGCATAGCGTAATCTCTCCCCATAATCTCCATTATGAGTAGATAACCAACAAAAATTAGTACACAGAAATGAGCTCCTACCATAACAAAAATGTAGCATTAACTAGAAACTGTTGAGGAAACCATCCATGGAGCTGGAAGAACGGTGATCCATGTTTTTTGGTATGTTTTCATGTGCGGTATCTCAGAATGCATACTGTATACCGAACAAAACTGAAGAACTAAGGGAGGAAGTTGGAAAACAGAATGTTAGGAACGTGCTGGCTGCTACCGGCTCTATGTGACAAGGCGAGATCAGCTTATGGTAGAGGTATGCTACGGAATGAACTGGTTGGTTTACAAGCTAGACTAAAAAGGAAATAGAAAGGTCACAAATTCAAGGGCTTGTGGTGTTAGAAGAAATGGCTACTCCCCATACCTAAATAGTAAAATATGTAATTGAGAAGGGGTTTTGAGCAACAAAGGCTGATTCAAACTCTGCCGTGCAGCTAAAACTAAATTAAGGATAATGGCAATAGGGTTAAAAGGTAGTGGTAAAAGCTCTGAGCGGGTTTAACGTGTGTACCCATTTCCTGTTGCTTCTGTGACAAATGACTACAAACTTGATGGCTTAAAATAATGCAGATCTACTTGTATAGTTCTGATAGTTTAAATGGCTCTTTCTGGGCTAAATCAAAGGGTTGGTAATACTGTGTTCCTTTCTAGAGGCTCATGGGGATAATCCATTTTCTTACCTTGTCTAGTTTCTAAAGGCTGCCCACATTCCTTGCCTCATGGCCCCCTTCCACTTTCAAAGCCAGCCATGGCTGGTCAGGTCTTTCTCCTATCACATGACTCGGACTCTGACACTGACTCTCCTTCTGCCTCCCAATTCTGCTTTTTTAAAAATTATTATTTATTTTTAAGTTAGTTGCCATACAGCCAATTCTGCTTTTAAGGACCCACCTGATTACATCGGACCCACCTGGATAATTTAGGATACTCTTCCTGTTTTAAGGTCAGCTGATTCACAAACTTAATTCTCCTTTACCACATAACAGCATAGTCACAAGTGTAGGGATTAGGATGTAAACATCCTTGGGGGACACTTATTATACCTACCACACACTGACATCTAGAATATCCTTTAAAATGAACAACATTGTTTAGAGCAGAGAGATAAAAAGTGTTGTTCTGAACATCTGACCAGCATAAGACACCCACACTGACATCAGGGAAGTGAATGCGTGAGAGAAGGGAAAGGCATGGGAGTGAGGAAGCAAAGACACTCATCAAATAGGAAAGGAACTGTCATGTGTTTTGGTACATGACACTGAAATCAAAGAGAAAGAAATCCAATGAAGTTCTTGAGAGAATTATCTTGCCCCCCAAAATCAACCTGAAATAAAAGAGAACATGACAGTTCATGACTTAAGGTAACACTGAGACTTTTGCCATCATTTGTTAGAATGTAAGCTAAGAAGTCTGCCTAACCCCAAGGGCCGTATATTCCCTGATACCCACTTCAAACGTGGCCATGGAAGGTCATAGAAAGTGAGACTGGACTGAGCCAAGGACCATAAGTATAATGAACCAGGAAGCCCCTCTTCTACCAGAAGAGGCACTTGATAACATCTACCCAGTGAGACTTCCGAGTGGCGACAACCCAGTAATTGAGGTATGCCTCCTGTCTGTTCACTACCCAAGCAAGAGTGTTCATTGAAATTATCCAGGTCCTGTTTTATCCTGTCACTGGGTGTGGGTAGGTGGGTGAGTAAAGAGGTTGATAACCTGCAATTTTAGGTACAGGTCTCTAGATCACCAGGAGCTATATCTGGACTATATGTTGCATCATTCTTGATATGAAACTACCAGAGATTCTGGACTTTGTGCTTGGTGCTATGACTGGATGGATTTTGGGTTGTCTCCCTTAAAGGAGCAGGGAGAGAGAGTGTATTTTACCTGCGGGGAGGAGAGAGGAGCAAAAGTTTGGTAACTGAAAGGGCAGAATGTGATCATCATTAGTGCTGCTCACTAATATCCAGTTCTTATTTCCTTCCACCCATACAGAAGATTGATCATCTCAGCCCTTTTTGGTTGGCCAGGACAACAGGAGTAGTTCCGAACATTGGATCTCCATTTCCAGGTCAGCATACTTAATTTCTTGTCCAAGTGTCTCCTGAGTTCTCTTCCCCATGCTGGAGTGATCCTAGAAGCATGTGTGAAGACCGAACTTCTACCAAACTTCCAGACTTTCCTGACCAACCCACTTTGGACAAATAATTTGAGGAATAAATATGTTTGTGATGACTGGGAAGTTAATTGTTACTGCAACATAAACCAGCCTATCCTGACTGATACAGAATACAAAGACTTTTTGATTTTACTTTGTAAAAGTTTTATCCTGATGTATCTTTAAATATCCCCTAAGATATTTCAATAAGAATTCACATACAGGCCCGTTCTGTTTATACAACATGTTCTTAGAGTACACCTATTAGAGAAAGTAAGCTGTATCTTCCCTGTTGCCTTCTTCACTTATATGCATTTCAATAAATATGTAACAGTGATAAAGAGGAGAAGAGTTTGTAGGAAAATCAGATTAATTATATCTGGGATAGCCCTGCGCTTCATCGCATTAATCAGGCAAAGATTTTTGTTGTTGTTGTTGTTGTTGTTATAGTTTATTTATTTATTTTGAGAGAGAGAGTGAGTATGAGTGGCAGAGGGGCAGAGAGAGAGGGAGAGAGAGACAGAATCCCAAGCAGGTTCCACTTTGTCAGCATGGGGCCCAATGTGGGGCTCAAAGTCACAAACTGTGAGATCATGACCTGAGCCGAAGTCAGACACTTAACTGACTGAGCCACCCAGGCGCTCCCAGGCAAGGATTTCTTAAACACAGATTATCAGCTCTATTTAATTATGAAACAGAAGTTTAAGACTTGGGTCTGTCAACTGAGCACTTCTTGAAGGCTGCAGTAGGAGGAGTGAAAAACCAACCGCATCAAGCAGCCCCAGGGTTGGGTCACAAGGGTCAGGACTTAATTATGTTACATACAGAGGGAACTGAAGAGTAAATCTCAAATTATCAAAAATCACAGAGACTAAATCTATTATCATGGTGAAGGTAAAGTCAGGAACAGTAGGGAAAGTGATAAAATGTAGGTAATTGCACAACTGCAGCTAAATAAAAATGCTGACCTGGTGTAGCAACAAGATGAGAAGGTACAGGCTATTCCTGTCATGAACAGAGCAGAGAAAATGGGACTTTCTTTTATCAGGGGTCCAGGTTAAATACATAGGTATTAGGCAAACGGTGTCCTACCATTTGGACAATGTTACTCTCTTAGTATAATGGACGCGTTTCTACGGTGACTGCTTCAGATTGTCAATATCCTGGGACTTCCATGATCTCACCAGAAAAGACTGGTCTGGTCTTCATCTCACATGAAAAACTGATCGCAGAGAAGCCAAAAGGAGTACAGGATTGTCCCAAAGAAGAAGGAAAAAGGAGGAGGAGGAAGAAGAAGCAGAGCAGAAGGAAGGGGAGATGGTAAAGGAAAAGAGATGAATGTCTAAAAAAAAAATTCAAAGGAAAGAAAAGCTTCATTAGTTCTGGGAAATCTGAAGACCAAATTAGGGACACTGCTGAGAGAGCCAAGGGAAAGGACCCAAATAGGGGCCGAGGCAGCCGGAAGCAGGGGCGTTCAGGGTTTTGGGGGGTGCAGGCAATAAGGTCTGGCCTGGGAATAGAAAGACTGTAGGTGGTTGCATCAGGGTACCCAGAGCAGAGAAAGCTCTCTAGGAAAGATCTCCCGGCTAAGCCAGTGCCCTATTTGTCTTTCGGCTCCTAGTGTTTCAAGCCAAGAGAATGTCTGCGTGGCCCTGAGCAGTCAGGCAGGCGCCCCTTCCCACACATGGGAAGAGGTTTATTACATTGGACACACAAAGTAACCCAAGTGTCCTGAAGAGAATATGAGAAAGCACATTTAGTCTTTTCCAAAGGTGTGAAACCAGTCTCTCCTTGAGAAAGGGGAAAAAAATTTTT